ATCCCAAGTGAAACTGTCCCTGTGGTGTTACCCTCTTTTCAAGAACTGCCTTCTTTAGGGCCAGAGCAATCCAGAAGGTTTGGAGATCCTTCCCAAAATAGACTGCCAGTGCAAAATAAATGCTAATAAACTACTTCAAAAACCATTTCCAGGCAGATTCTTGTCAGCAAAAGGTCCTGCAGCATTGGGAACCTGTGCTATTGTATGTCTGTGGTAGGAAACCAGCTTATTACCAGTATGAGTGGGGACAGAGTTTAACTGTAGACATGTTGAAAACACATCATGTCCTGCATCTCTCCGCAAGTCACAGCTTCTATGACTTCTTTTCCACCTTGTCTTGGCTATGAGCTCTGTGAAAATCTTCATTTGGTTGCGTTTTGCTTTTGCTTATACTGCAAGGAGCTGGGAAGTGAGGTTATATTGTTGTGTGGAGACCTCAGAGTGGTCTGTCATTGTCCTTCAGGTCATGGGGCAAAGAGCTGAGCTGCTCAGTGCTCCCCAGAGGTTTCTCTTCCTTAGTAGACATACTTCCTGAGTGCAGAGCCACCGTAGGTTCAGAGGATGGTTGACCTGGAAGTGTGTGTTTTGGATAAATCTTCCAGTTGCCCTTTGTCTTTTTGCATAGGACCGTGGAAACAACAACAGCGTGATGAGTAACTACGAGGCGTACAAGCCATCCACTGGAGCAATGGGAGACAGGCTTACAGCAATGAAAGCAGCTTTTCAGGTTGGTTCCAGCACTTTTACTCCAAGTTCAAACTGAAGGGGATAGGGCATATCATGGAGAAACTTTACTGATGATTCAAGACAACGTTGTTTCTCCCCTGTAAATGCAGAAACCCTGTTGGTTTCAGGGCAGTTGAGTTTGGCAGTTGTAGCTGCGTTCTCGTCTCCTCTGCCTGGAGCACGTGCTCAGCATTGACGTCCAAAGTGGCAGAATGAGTCTGCAGGTTGGGCTGAACACATCTGCATAAAGTTAATTTGTGAAACTTTGTTTTCAGCAGCCTCTTCGCTGTCTGTCCCTTCTAGATCCTGCTCCTAGGCTTGAGCCTGTTTAGGTTGCTTAGGAGCAATAGTGTAATTGCAATCGAAAGGAACGGGGAACGGAGAAACTCTTTCTCTTCAGTGTAAAAATGAACCCCGCAACATAGGAGTCCCCTTGTTTCTGTGGTTTGGTAGCAGATGCCTGTTACTAATTCTGTGCTTTTAAGCACAGCAGGAGTGTAATCGCTCCAAGACTGACTTTTTATAGGAACTTTTTCCTAGGGGTTCCCCAGAATTCAAGATGGGCTTGTGTGTGCATGAGGACTGTGTGCTTTGTGCTGCAGGACCAAGGCAAACGTGTTCTCTTGTTTCTTTCTCCCTGTCTCTTTCTGTCAGTCCCAGTACAAGAGCCACTTTGTTGCTGCAAGCTTAAACAATCAAAAGACTGGTAGCTCTGCTGCTGGGGCAAGTGGCTGGACCAGCGCCGGGAGCTTGAACTCGGTACCAACAAGCTCAGCCCAGCAAAACACTGCAGCCCCCGAGAGCCCACTTGCAGCCACCGCAGCAGCAAAGGGTGTGCCAGGCTTCACCAGCACGGGGAGTTTGAGTAGCGTTCCCACCTTCCCAAGTGTCGGAGGACAGGGCTTCAACAACACAAGTGCCAGCACCAACAGTCGAGAGGGCGGCGGCGGCGGCACCGGTGTTGCCACCCCTGGTGGTGGTGGTGGTGGTGGTGGTGGTGGCATGGTCAGGGAACGGTACAACGACAGCCGGCCCGGTCGGCACAACGAGGCCCCGCGCCGCGGAGACGGGGGCGGTCGCTACAACGACGTGCAGCGCCACGGGGAAGGAGGTGGTCGCCACAGTGACGTTTACCGCCACGGAGAGAGCCGCCACGGCGACACCCATCGCCACGGGGAGAGCCGGCACTTCGCTGATGTGGGTGCTGGGAACCACAATAACGGTGACAGCAGGAACAGCAGCGAGGGGAGGAACAACGAGAGCAGGAATGGTGACAACAGGAAGGAGGCCGCCAACCGAGACAACAAAACAGATGGGTTTGCTGTCCCAGAGCCCCCAAAGCGGAAGAAGAGCCGGTGGGACAGTTAAAAGCTGGTGTTGCCCCAGCCTGGGGTCTCTGCAGGTGGTGTTGCCTTTTGCCAGAGGATTTTGGGGGGGGTTTGGTAAGTGGTGGTTGAGCTGCTGGGGGAGGAGAAGGAAACCATACAAACTACACTCCCCGTGCAAGCCCGGGCCGGTACATCTGCAAACAGCTTCTCTCTAATGATGTGTACACACAATGCTTTAGTCCAAGAGAAATCATTTTGATAAAGCTCCCTGGGTTCTGCTTTTAAACATTCAGTGCTCAAGAGACTCTGCTGGAGTTAAACAGATCTTGCCAAGAAAGAAGCTGTTTCATGGCCTTGGAACATTAAGAAACTGTTGTCCCTACAAGTATAAAGTAGTCTTTTTCTTAACCAGCATTCACACTTAAAAAGTAACAGCTAGAGATGCTCAGGACCCACCTGGTAAACAGTGCTCTCTCAGCAGTGTGTTCAGTATGGTAAGGTCTTCCCCAGACTCTTGTTTCCACGTATTATCCCTACATAATTTGGCCTCCAATTTGGCCTCCAGGTTGCCCCTTCCATCCCATCACGTAAGGATTTGCATTGCTGAAGGTGGGATGAAGCTGGTTTTCCTTGGTTTTTGTTTTTTTAAGAAGCTGTTCAAAGGCTCCTTCTCCAGCCCAGCAAACCCCAAATTCACCTCTAGTGCAGGCTGGACTCCCTTGGCTTGGCTGTGGTCAGTACATCAATCCCAACCCCATTGCCCAGGTCTTTCATTCTTCTAAAGAACCTCTTCTCTCCTGCTACCCTTCATGTTGATGGAAGCCTGCATAGCAAACTTGGCTCTCTGCTGTGCCTGTGCACCCTCTGTTATGAGAGGGTTGAGTGCTTTCTTCAAATTAAAGACAAAAAAGGGAATCCAATACAGCCACACTACTCCAAGGCTGGTGCCCCCCATGCAGTACAGCTCAGTGAAGAGGCTTCCCTCAGTAATTCAGGGACCTACTGCTCTCAGAAGCCTTCAGGGAGAACCTGAAAAGCGATTGATGAAGTGGAACAGCTCGGCTCTCGCCCCATATTGGACACATGTAGTTAAAACTGTAAAATCCTGCTTGACAGTTTTTAACTCCTTGTGTGTATTATCCCTTTTTTAACTCTTTGTTGGCACCATAAAGGTAAGGCAGGAAATCTTTTGTTGAAACACGGCAGTGCCCACCCCTGTCTTGTTTCTACTGAAAGAAGGGTCGGAATCTGTCAGGTTTTGGTGACATTGTGATGTTTTCTTTATCAGCTGTGCATTTACTTTCTGCTTGCTCTAGTAAATGTTTTATTACTGGTTCAAAGCTATTGAGCACCTGCTTTTTATTCTCCTCTGGCTGTAATGATGTTTGAGTGGTGTCTGGTGTCTGCATCTCCACCCACCCTGTCCCTTTCTTTCACCAGAACTGATGGATTGTCATTGATAGAAGAATTCCTGTGGGGTTTTTTTGCAGTATCTTTGACCCCAAACTTTTGCCAACCCTATTTTAACTTCAAAGCCTGCTGGGGAAGAGATTTTTCCCCTTCATTTTGCAAGTGGGAAGGACATGGTGTTCAGCCCAGCCTTCCTTGAGGCCATTAGAGAACTTGGCAGCAGTTTTGTGATGTGACCTGCATGTGTACTGCTTCGTTTGGGCCCCCTCACTGATTCTAATCTGTTGGGGTTGTTTGAAACAGCTTCCACTTGAATTCTCTCATTATGGTCTGGGCAGAAACCTCATTGCACTTGTTTGAGCTCTGCATATTCAGTATTAAGACAAGTGTGTTCCAGGGCAGATGTGGCAGGGGTTTAGAAGCTGTTGCATCCATGCAACCCCAGACTGGTTTGGGTTGGAAGGGACCTTCCAACAAAAGAACTCTGCCTTAAAGCTCATCTCAGTCTCCCCTCTGCAGGTTCAAGCCATTCCCCTTGCCCTGTCCCTACAGGCCCTTGTCCAAAGCCCTTCTCCACGTTTCTGGGCCATTCCCCTTCCTTTCTCACACTTGAGGTTTATCACTGCACAATTAAAGATCTGAGTTTTAAAACAAGACAGGAATAGCTCCATAGTTTAAAGCTTCCATCTGCTCCTGCCTTCCTGAATGGAAGGAACAGGCCCTGGACATGGCATATCCTTGGGTTTCTCCCTTTCTTTTTAACACATCCCTCTGCTCTTCAATAGGATTATTGAAATTCCTCACCCCTTTCTCAGCTCCCGGAGGCCTCCTGAGACTTGGGTGAGTAAATACTGATCACTGACCACGAGCTATAAATGTCAGTTCACAGGTCCCTGCCAGATACATCAGAGGCCTGATTCTGTCTCCACGGAACAAGGTAGCAGTGTGAGCAGCGTGCCTGGAAGGAGAACCTCTCCTGCAGTGCGGGTTGTGCTGCTTGCTTCTAAAGAGCCAAGAGATGAGCAGATAACTGCAGGAAGCTCAGGTCGGGTTTCTGCTTCTGTGGCTGTGCATCAGCCACCCCCTTTTGTCCCCTGGAGCAGTGCAGACGCTGCCACCAGCCAGCCCTGCCTCTGCCATGTTGTAGGTGGTGTGGATGTGCCTGGCTGGGCCCTGGAGCCCTTCCCTTCCTGGCTGTGTGCGTCCCTCCAGAGTTTGCCAATCCTTGTGACTCCCTTTGCCTCATAGCTTTCCACTGGAAGATGTGTGAATGCACAGAAGGATGCACATGTTCACTGCCTTGAGGGACTGTCTCGCATTAGAGCAGGTAGGAAAGGAAACCCCGTGCTGCCACCAACACACTGTTTAATGTTAACAGGTACACACGTGTCCATTTCCAACAATGGGGAAATCCTCCCCTCCCCTGTGATCTGGTGGAATTACCTGGGCTGGGCAGTGCAAGCCCCACTGGAATGGCTTTGCCCATCAGGTGAAGAGCTCTTCCAGCAGCACAGTACAGCAGAGAGGAAGGCAGAGTCTGGCTGCTGCCACCATGGATGTGCTTCCAGCCCTTGGCACCCTCCACTGCCCTCCAGCAACCACCGAGTACCTGATGGAGTTCAGGGATGGGAACAAGCCACACAGACCATGTCTTCATTCACTTTCAAGAGCAGAGGGCTGAGCCTTTCGCATGCAGTAGCCCATGTGCTCATGGATGATGGTGCTGGAAAGACAAGGGTGGACCCAGCATTGCCCTGTGCCCATCCCAGCCCATGCAGCTTGGCCTGGTGCCTGAGCCCATTGATCCCAGTGGATGCTGGGATCTGCTGCAGCATCCTCATGCTCCCTGTTCCTGCTTTACCACAGCTGTGAGCTGCACAAGGATGCGGTTAAGGGCAGGATGAGCTGCAGAACAGCTCTACACAGCACCAGGCTGTACGATCTAGATGCTACACTGGGGAGTCAGACTATGGGCTTGTTGAATCAGCTTTATACACACTGGAGCTGAAATCACCATCTGGACCATTGAGGTATTTCCTGGGGGTGATTCAAGGCTTTGCATGCACAGACATCACGTACATCAGTCACTGGTGTGTGGAAGGAAATGAGGTTTGGAACCGGCTACTCCTTTATAGACCAGGTAGGTAGAAAGAGCCACATGGTCCCTTTGCACACTGCCTGTGAGGGAAGGGAACTGGATTGTTCCCTATCTCAGCTCTGTGCAAGCATGAAAGTGTGAGGATCAGCATCTTCCCAGTCCCAGCTGGATGCCCAGAAGGGAAACCCCCCATTCGCTTCACAGCATCGTCTCCAGCTCTTTGTTGAGGTTGGGGTGACCCTGATCCAGGTCTGTTGGATCCCCTGTGGTTCCCCCCCCAGGTCTCTGGCTCATCTCCTGGGTCCCACAGGGCACAAAGTTATCGGAGGCAAAGGAGCTGGGGACACAGCCCGGGAGGCTGGCCCGGGCCGGCAGCAGCAGCCCCCGCTGCTGGGTGCTCCCTGCTCCTCGCCCCCCCAGGCTGGTGCTGAAGCTGGTGGTGGGGTGGGAGCTCAGCCCCCCATAGCAGTAGCTCCCCACTGTGCTGGTGGCACGAGCCTTCTGCTTGAAGTCCAGCGCCAGGCTCCTCCGAAAATGGGCTTTCTTGATCTCTGCCTGCACCTGAGGGAGAGATCAGAGGTGGCTGCTGTGTGCAGCCCCTTCCCCAGGGAATTCCCCCTTCCAAATCCCAGCCTGGTTTGGGTTGGGAGGGACCTTAAAGCTCCTCCAGCTCCAACCCCTGCCACGGGCAGGGACCCCTTCCACTGGAGCAGGTTTCTCCTTCAGGGAGCCTAAGATCTAATCCTACTGAGAGGGATGGATCCAAGTTTTTTCCCAGCCTGGGGGTTCCGGGTTGACTTCCCCAGCCCCAAAGAGGCTGCGCCAGGGAGCTCAAGCTCCCAACTTACCTCCCCATTACAAAAGCAGTAGATAAAAGCCACAAAGAAACCCTGCCAAGAGAGACAGAGGTGAAGTTGGAGCTGGGCCACCCCGCGTGTGCTTCCTCGCTGCTGGGATGAGCATTGCTGGGTGTTCGGAATACCTGAGAGGAGTTAAAGAGCATCTCGTAATGCATCTGGATCTGCCACAGGACCCCGGAGACTTCGGTGTAGGGCATGGCCATGAACACCACGTAATGGACTCCGAAAAGCGGCATCAGCACCAGCGTGGACTTGAGCAGCTTCCTGAGAGCAGAAACGCTCCGAGAATGAGCCCGAGAGGCAGCGGCGGGGCCAGGGCAGGGGATGCGGTTCCAGCGCTTGCCTGTACTGCTGCCGGGGGTCCGGCTTCCCCGCGTGCGTCTCCCAGAGCTTGGAGGCCAGAACCCGGACGATGTTGAGGAAGAGGAAGAAGTTCACCTGCCAACAGCCCCCACTGTGCTTCTATTGCCCACAGCCAGCGTGGGCCTGCCCCAGCAGCCCCCCGGCACGAGAAGAGGCAGCTGTGGGTGAGCTGCAGGCAGGGACACGGAGGTGATGCTGTGGGCAGGGACCAGTGTCCGTGCATCCCTGCATCCCTGCATCCCTCTGCGTCGCTGCGTGCCGGAGGGGCTGCAGGCACAACCTCAGGGACCACAAGTGAACAGCTCTGGGCCTCTACCCAGCCCCTTTCCCAAAGGGGACTGGGGGATTCAGCCATGGGATTCTTACCACAATGGCAGCCAAAATGGGGACCTGATAAATCCACTTCATGTTCCCTGCACTGAGATCCCAGCACCTGCAGAGACCCATAAAGAAACATCCTGAAGGAACCTGGCCAGGAACATTGCCAGCTGATGGCTCTCTTTACCCCATAACCAACATCCCCATCCTCCCTTCACTCCCTTTGTGTAAGTCTTGACCCAACAGCAGCCACACTATGACCATTGATACTCTGGATCCCTGTCAGTTTGATGGACAAGCCTCACAGTGTGCTCACTCCTCTCGCTCTTCATGCTCAGTTCATTCTGCTGGCATTTGCCACCAGCCTTCCCCTCCCCAAAGGGCTGTTGGAGGTGGACCCACGTACTGTGTATCAGCCAGGGAGGCCCTGACACTGGCCCAGATGGACACGAACACAGCAGGGAGACCTGGAGGGGCAGGAAACACGGTGAGGAGCAGGGATGAAGCATCGCCTTTGCAGACCAGCGCAGGTCTGGTCTGCATCCCACTGCCCTGCCTTGAGCATCCTGTGCCACTCTGATGCCACGGCTCCCAGCTGCTCGCAACACTGGGGTCCATGCTTACCCCAGCCGATGATGATGAGGACCCACAGGTAGCTCTTGTTGGAGAGGAAGGCCATGAAGATCAGGCTATGCAGGTAGAGCCCTTCCACCAGGATCCAGTAGTGGTTGGTGGCCAGAAAATAGAGGAAGAGAGTCACTGCCACCTTGCAGCCCACCTGTGGACACGGAGGCAGGGAAGTGCCCTGAGCGCAAAACCTGACCAGCAAACCCCAGGCTGTGCCCCATCTCCCCTGGGATATTCCAGCACTGTGGCTCTACATCTCCCATAGGAAAGGTGCTTCCCATACCAGACCACACTGAAGTCCTTTGCCTGCTGTGGCACCAGGGTGGGCAGAGCTGCAGGTTGCCCTTCATCCCTCCCCTGAGCAGCGCAGCCCCGAGCTGGGAGCATCCCAAGCACATCCCCTTGCGCCAGGCCTCTTCCATCCCCTTTCCCCCTGATCCTGCCTCCACACTTGCCAGCTGGCTCCGATGTCCTGGTGAAGGACCCATTTCTGCCCTGAAGTCCTCCTCCCGCATCCTCTCCATCTCCGTGGCCAGGGTGCCCGAGTAGAGCACCGTGTCCTTCACGAAGATGCTCACCGCCCGGCAGATGAAGGAGGTGAAGAGGTGGACGTGGATGTAGTTGCGTGTGCAGTGCAGGCGCCTATGGAGAAGGGATGTGACACGAGCCCGGCCCCAGCTGCCCAACAAGCTCATTGCATGTGGGACACAGTGAGCTCCAAGGTGTCAGCCCAGAAAACAGACCTGGAGGCAAGTGGGGCATCCACAACCTCAATAGCAGGGTGGAACTGGTCATACTGGGGGTGCTTTGGGCTGGGGTTTGGGGCCGGTTCCTGATCCCATCAGAGGATGGTGTGTGCAGGTGATGGGGAGAGGAGGGTTCTCTCTCATGGGGATGAGGTTTTGGCTTCTCCTTACTTGAAGTACAAGAGGATGCAGACAGCGACAATGAGGGAGGCCAGGGAGATGGAGTAGCCGATGGTGTACATCAGGTGCAGGCGGTCAAACACCTCCTGGAACCACAGAACCATGGCATGGTTTGGGGCGGAAGGCACCTTAAAGCTCATCCAGTTCCACGGGCAGGGACACCTCACACTAGGGCAGCCTGCTCCGAGCCCCATCCAACCTGGCCTTGAACACTCCCAAGCCCTATTCCCAGGGAGCGAAGTCACCTTCTCACGGCTCCGGCTCTCGGAGGAGAAGAGCAGAGCGCACTCGGTGTAGTTGGCCCAGGTCTTGTTGATGCTGAGAGCCACGGCCCAGGTCCCCGAGGAGCTGCAGTACCGGTGGGCACGACCTGGGAAGGGCGATGGGCGCAGCAGAGGGACCCGAGGGAAGCACATCCCTGCTGGTGGGGGGTCACCGAGGGTCTCTCCCTGCTCGGGTCCAAGCTCTCACCTCGATGGTTGAAGTCATAGATGTAGTCAGGGCAGGGCACCGACACCTCCTGGCTGGGGGAGCCCTTTGGCCAGCAGATGATCCCATCCCACTCAGGAAGGCAGCTGGTGTCTGGGCAAAGAGCAAGGAGGCAGTTCCCATCTCTAAACAGGGACACAGCTTCCTGCAGCTCCCCCAAGGGAGCATCACCCCGGCCTGCACGGCTTGCAGCAAGCTGCTCTATGGAAGGGGTCCGTGCCCACGGCAGGGGTTGGAGCTGGAGGAGCTTTAAGGTCCCTTCCAACCCAAACCAGGCTGGGATTCTGTGAGCAGCACCCAACTGCACCCAGGGTGCCAGGATCTCCACAAACCCTCAAGCTCCATCCTCTCCCATCCGAGGGAACAGCATTCCCCATGGTGTATGCTGGGGCCGGCCGACCCACCCGCAGGGATGGGCACTACCTTGGATCATCTCCAGCTGGGCTTTTATGTCCCTCTGACATCTCTCCTTGGCTTCCACCAGGAGGTAGATCTGCTCTTCCTTTGTGAGAACATCGTCGGGGTCCACCTGCCAGGACAAGGCTGATGTGGTGACCCCTCCAGCAGCCTGGCAAGGGGCTCCAGGGATGCTACAGGGACCTCCTGACATGGGGCCGATGCTTTGCTGCTCTTTGCTGCTCACAGCATCGAGCAGGCCCAGCCTCAGGGTAAGAAATGAGGCAAAGGCAGGCAGGGAAGCCAGGACACATGGATCATGAATGTGCTGGCAGGCAAAGCTGATGGATGCCCTCCCAACCCTCCCGTGTTTATGTGGCTTTGAGGAGGCTCAAACACAATGATGGGGAAGAGGAAAGCCTCCTGCTCTCGTTCTTCCCTCTTGCAAGGCTGAGGCTGACCATGAGCCCCCTTCACCCTGCCCATGGTCCACTGAGAAACACATGGACATGGGTGCTGTGTTGGGCTTCCAGCCCCACCAGTGAGGTGGGCAAGACGTCCCCATTGCCCACATGGAGCCCTTCAGAGCCGGGGCTGCAGCTCTGGAAGCACAGAGGAGTTGGGATGCAGGGGGTTCACGTTGGCTCCTGGACTGCCCATGGCCAAATCCTGCCCCAGAGAGGAGACCCTGAGCTCCCACCCGTGCTCTTCAAGGCAGCGCCTGTTGCTGGTGGGGGGCACGGAGCAGGACTGGGGGTCCATCAGCAGGAGCTGACTATAAATCACCTCCTTCTTCTGCTCCCTGTGCAGCGAACCTGGCCTCAATGGGAAAACCACCCCATTGTGGTGTCTCCATGGCTGTGGAAGCTTTTAGCAGGAGCAGAGATGCTCTCCCTCCCCTCCTGCCCCGCAGCTCTGTGCGATGGGATGTGCAGCCGGGGCGGGATGCACAAGCAGCAGGGGTTCAAGGCAGGAGAGGACCAGAGGAGCCCATAGGACCATGCAGACTTACCAGAGCCCACGCAGAGCTGAGCAGACAGCAGCAGAGGAGAAGTGCTGTGATCCCTCCCTCGGGAATGGACGTCTCCATGGTCCCGCCGTGTCACTGGGATGGACCTCAGGGATGCTGAGCTGGAGGAGCGCTGCCAGCCCCAGGCTGTGCAGGACAGAGCATCTTCTGGGGCACCTTCCCCACTGCTGCCCCCCTGGCAGTGCTATAGGGATCTATCTGCTCACGGGCTCACCAGGTGAAGGGGGTTCTTCCCCCATCATCCTTGCTCCTATTCACTCTCCATCTCCCGCCTGCTTTAAGCAGCTCCTGGAGCGTGTGCAAACAGTTCCCACTGGGATGGGGATGGCAGAGGTTTATTGGCTCAGCCCTAGGTGCTAAAATCCTCTCCATTCAAGGCAGATTCCTCTTCTCCTGTCAGAAACTCCTCTCGCTGCCTGCTGCTCATTGCTCAGCTGTCACAGCATCCCCCCGCTGCCCCCGTGCTGCTCAGTCCCCTCCTGCCCCACACTGGTCCCAGTGAGCGGGGAGGACAGTGGGGAGAGCCCCAGTGATGTGGCTGGAGGCAGGGGGCAGCGGGTGCAAGCACGTGAGCATCACCTCGGCACTGATGCTCCTGGGGTGGGATGTCTTTCAGGCAGACGCCAGCTTAACCCTTTGCCTTCTCTAGGGGCTGGGGCTCAGACCCGAACAAGCACCCTCCTGCCTTTGTGTGCTCGCTTTGCAGAAGGATCTCACTGCACAGCAGCTTTAACCTCCATGGATGAGGCTAAAAGGGCACCGCAGTCCTGACAGCGGAGTTCCCACCCTGCTGGGTGCCTCCCTCAGCCCATGAACGGGATGAGCCAAACCAGCAGGTCCTGGGGCACCAGCTCAGGGTTGGTCTCATTGCAGCCGACAACACCCCCATCAGAGCAGTCTCTTGGCACCTGCATCCCCTTGGGAACACCCCAGGGCTGTCCCAGGCCTTTCAGGATCATTCTGATGCCACCCGTGTGGGTGGCTTTTGGGACCATTTAGGGCCACAAGGATGCTCAGGCGCTGGAGCACCTCCTGTATGGAGCCAGGCTGAGAACACTGGGGCAGCTCAGCCTGGAGAAGAGAAGCTGCGTGGAGACCTCAGAGCAGCTTCCAGTGTCTGAAGGGGGCTACAAGGATGCTGGAGAGGGACTCTTCATCAGGGACTGGAGCAACAGGACAAGGGGTGATGGGCTCCTGAGGCGAGGAAAGGTGCTACCAGCTGGATGAGAGAGCAAAGCAAACCCAGTGACAGCGCTCAGGAGGTGCTGTGCTCCCTCTGGTTAAGTCAGACAGGAGAACAAGCCTCTTGGTGGCTTTCCCTGCCACAGCAGTAAACCAAGGAGGGATTAGGGGCATCCTCGGCAGCTGCCTCTCTCCTCATCCCAGTTTAGCCACTACCATGGACCATTGGTGGATGCTGACAGCAGCCCTGCATCGCTCTGCTCATCGAGATGCTGCACAGGCACGAAGGGCAAGAGATGGGAGAAGCATCTGAATTGCAGGATCAATGTAAAGGCTCTTCTGAGTTCTGATTCCTGACCCTGAAGCTGCAGGGAGCAGAGCTGAGGGTAAAGGGAGGTTGTTCTTTACTGTATGGGTGGATGCCTGCTGAGGGGGAGGCAGCAGCACGCAGGGGCAATTTGATTCCCAGAACCTGACCCAGGATCCGAGTTTGCCGTTAGCAAAACACGTTGGGTTTTTCTTGCTAAATGACTTCCTTTATTATAGAGCGCTCTGGAAAGCAATCACTGCAAATGACTCCCATCCAGCCCCGAACCCACGCGAGCAGCCCTCCGGTGATGGCACACAGCACTTTGCTGCTGCTCCCTCCCCCTGAGAGACCCCCATGACCCTGCTCGTGATGGCTCGAGCAGTTCCCTTCACTCCCAGCCCCGCAGCAGCTCCTAAAGAGCAGGATTAGACCATGCCAAGCCTGACCGCTGCGGTACAGCATGACCTGAACCAGCCTGACTCGACCACATGAAAACACAACTCTAGATGCATTTTCCTATAGCCGTCTATAAACTGTATTTAAATACATACATCTATGAAGTGTGTGTGTGTATATATACGTACAGAACGGGTCAGGCTCCAGCAGCACCAAGACCTCGCAGCTCTCACACGAGGACCAGCAGCATCTCGCAGGATCCTGGTCCACCCAGCGGCTTGTGACGGTCCCTGCAGCGCAATTTAAGCCCGCGCTGGCTGGAGCAATGCAACGGGGCCCCAGGTTTCGATGTCTCGGGGTAACCCTCAAGCCCCAGTTTGGGGAATGCTGAACCCCGATGACCTCTTCTGCATCTTCTGCAGGTCTGCAAGCAGTTGGGAGAGGAGGCTGAGAGCAGGAGCATCGCCCACCGGAGCCTGCCCAGTGCCTGGAGAGGAGGTGAAAGGAGATGGTGCAGCCCATGCTGCCCTGCAGGTTTTGGGGTGCATGGGATAACACAGCTGCAGGTCGGGCAGAGAAGCGATCCAGAGCATCCCTGGGGAGAAGAACTCGGGCTGATGGTGGATGAGAAACTGAATGTGAGCTGGCAGTGTGCACCTGAGCCCAGAAACCACCCGTGTGTGGGGCTGCATCAAAAGGAGCGTGAGCAGCAGGTTGGACCTGGATGATCCTAAGGTCCTTTCCAACCCAAACCATTCCATGGTTCTATGATGAGCAGCGCAGCGCAGCGCTGTGAAAGGACCTGAGCTGATGAATTAAATGCCTGGCTTTACCCTTCATTTGCATTTCCCTCCCTATCTCTCGTCTGGAGGTGAGCACAGCTCCTCACCCGCACCTATTCCAAGGCACAAGCTCATCCCTGGGGAGCAATGGGGATAAACCAGCCCCTGAACACGAGGCCTGAGCTCCTCTGTAGCAGCCCTTCCTAAACCCCGCTGTCACAAAGGGCTCTGCAGCGCTTGCCCTTGAGGCCTGCCCAAAACCATTCGTGCTTTCCCCATGGGCATCCCGGCAGCTCCATCAGCCCCGGGTCGCTGCTTCCCTGCCAGGCCCCCGGCTCGGATCGAGTTTAGGCTTCCAGTGCTCAGCCAGCGAGCAGCCCCCGTGCAGCCCACCCGGGGCAGGTGCTGGGGGGTGCCCGGTGGCTTGGCCGTGCCGGGAGCTGATGACAATGGGCAATTGTCGAGTTGGGGCCCCTCTCCTTTGAGTTTTCTTCCTTTTATAGTAATTAGCAGTTGCTCCGGCAGCTGGCCTGCCCCTGCGGGGTGAGCGCGGGGCTTGTATATAAGGGAAGGAGCAGCCTTTGCCTTTCACCCTCGGTTCAGTGGCTTCGCTAGGCAGCAGGACCCGTCCCTGCCCCTTCACACAGCCCCAGAACGATGCCAATCAAGAAACCTGACCCCAGGAAGGAAGCGGCCAAAGCAGCTCCGGCCCCGGAGCCCCCCCGAGAGCCTGCCTTTGATCCCAAGAGCGTGAAGGTGAGCGAGGGATGGAGGCGTCCCCGTCTCCCTTGGTACCAGTCATCTGCAGGCATGGGCAGTGCGGTGCGCCAGGCTGAGAGCCAGGGCTGGGAGGGCAGGGCGAGCGCATTGCATTGGAGCAGCGGGCTGGGAGGGATGTGTGGATGCAGAGGGCTGGGAGGGATGTGTTGATGCAGGGGGCTGGGAGGGATGTGTGGATGCAGAGGGCTGGGAGGGATGTGTGGATGCAGAGGGCTGGGAGGGATGTGTGGATGCAGGGGGCTGGGAGGGATGTGTTGATGCAGGGGGCTGGGAGGGATGTGTGGATGCAGAGGGCTGGGAGGGATGTGTGGATGCAGCGGGCTGGGAGGGATGTGTGGATGCAGAGGGCTGGGAGGGATGTGTGGATGCAGCTGGCTGGGAGGGATGTGTGGATGCAGAGGGCTGGGAGTGGGGGGCGGAGTTGATGCGAGGGCTGGGAGGGATGTGTGGATGCAGCGGGCTGGGAGGGATGTGTGGATGCAGAGGGCTGGGAGGGATGTGTGGATGCAGAGGGCTGGGAGGGATGTGTGGATGCAGAGGGCTGGGAGGGATGTGTGGATGGAGAGGGCTGGGAGGGATGTGTGGATGCAGAGGGCTGGGAGGGATGTGTGGATGCAGAGGGCTGGGAGGGATGTGTGGATGCAGCGGGCTGGGAGGGATGTGTGGATGCAGAGGGCTGGGAGGGATGTGTGGATGCAGAGGGCTGGGAGGGATGTGTGGATGCAGAGGGCTGGGAGGGATGTGTGGATGCAGAGGGCTGGGAGGGATGTGTGGATGCAGCTGGCTGGGAGGGATGTGTGGATGCAGAGGGCTGGGAGGGATGTGTGGATGCAGCGGGCTGGGAGGGATGTGTGGATGCAGAGGGCTGGGAGGGATGTGTGGATGCAGCTGGCTGGGAGGGATGCTCTCCTGGCTGTGGGGATGTTTCAGTCTTCCCCCTTGTCAGGGTCCCAGCAGCCACCCACTGCCTCCATCCTGAACTGTTTGGCTGCCTGTGTTGTCTCCTCCACCTGAGAGCATCTTTTAGCCAAGTCAGCACAACGGGAGCTTGGTTTCTCCGTGATTCCCCACGTTTTAGTCACATATTTAAGCCAGAGATGTGGCAGGGGCATTATTTAGAGCAGGCTCAGTGTGGAGGGTGTTTAATCACTTGAACAAAGGAGCAAGCATCGTGAAAACAGCATCCTTTCCACCTGACTGTGGAGAGGTTCAAATGCAGGGAAGAGCCCCTTCATTACCCCTGTCCATAACGTAACGCTGATGCCTGGCGCTGTTCTCTTCTCCCGACAGATTGAGTTCACTGCAGAGCAGATTGAAGGTAAGTGCAGACTTCACCTTTTCCCAGGGATGCCATTAGGAATAGGGAGTCCTTTTTCCAGGTAGCTTTTCACAGCAGACATAAAGGCCAAGGCCCCTCGCATCAAACCCCCAGCATCAGGATGGAAAGGAGATGGGGAAGGGAGGAGGCAGCCGATGGAGATGGGAGCAATGCTGGGAGCCAGCACAGGGATTTAGCTAGGGCTGTTGGGAGCAATAAATGGACCCTGGCTCCTTGCTCTGCGCTGGGGGTGCCCCAGTTGAAGGGGACAATCCCTGCTTCAGGCAGGGAAAAGGTATTTTTCCATTCATGGTGAGAGATGGAGCCTGGTTCAAAGCCGGATTCGTGTGGGAGGAGCAGCCTCTGGCGATGCAGGGACTGAGCTGGGATTGGGATTCCTCATCTCTTCATGCCTCTGTACAGAGTATGGGAGGGACAAGATGCGAGGGCAGATCCTGGTGTGGATACTGGGAGGAGGAGACACAGGATCCTGCAGGCTTGGCCCCAAACCAGCTTTGGGAAGGAGAGCAGGGCCAGTGGGAACGGGAGCAAGTTAAAATGTGAAGGCGTTTGGATTTAACCTGCAATGATGTCCCCCAATACGTGATGTGCTCCCATGGCTCCAGGTGGTCAGAGGGGACTGAGCACCCTCACAGTGACCAGGACCTCACAGTGGGGGATGTCCCCCCTCCCTCAATATGCCATATGGAGGGATCTCATCTGCAGGGATGGAGCCATCCCAGGGTAACAGCAGCACCCTGAGGTGCTGGGGGGACCATGGACAGGATTACGGGGACACGGACAAGGGGATGTGGTCCATGGCATGGTGAGGTTCAGTGAAGATACAAAGATGCCAAGTAGAAAAGGAGCAAATCCAAGGCAAGGAGCAATCCCTGGGCCAGGATTCCCACCAAACACAAGGGGATGCCTACCTGACTGTGACATCTCCATCACTCCATGGAGACTGCGATCACCTCATCCCACCCAACAGCAGGAGAAGCAATGGCTCTGCTGGATGCTATGAAGCAGATGGGCCAGAAACTGGAATTCACTGGTGCCATGGACAAGAAACCCACAGCTCTGGATGCTATGGGAACAAGCTTGGGAATGAATCTCCTGCATCCTTCCCATGGTCTGCAAGGCTGGGGGGGACATGGTCGCCCTTCCTCAAACACAGCCAACACTGTGTTGGGTGCCAGCAGGGCCATGGGATGTCGTGGGGACCATGGGGATGCAGCGGGAGGGCACCCACCATGCATGTGTCCGTCTTTCCCTTGCTCCAGTGGGGTGGGGAATGGGTCCAGCATGGAAAGGGACATCTGGGCTCTTCTCATCCGCAGAGTTCAAAGAAGCCTTCAGCCTGTTTGACCGCACGCCCGCCGGGGCCATGCAGATCTCCTATGCCCAGTGTGGGGATGTCCTACGGGCGCTCGGCCACAACCCCACCAACGCAGAGGTCCTGAAGGTGCTGGGCAAGCCCAAAGCAGAAGGTGAGAGCAAAGTGGGGCAGCGGGGACATGGTGGGACTCGTAATCCCTGTGCTTCCTGGCAGCACGTGAAGGATTATGTCCCCTTTAGGAAGAACTCAGTGAGATGAAGGAAATGATGCAGAGAGGCTTCACTGCATCACTACCCTTCACTATACTATGGGTCACAGAAGGGCTAGTCTTAAGGGAGTAGACATAAGGGAGCAGTCCTCACCCAGGGATGGTGGCAATGGGTGCTTCACAGACCACATCCTGAGCTGGTGCAAACCTGACTGGCTCCAGTGCAGCTGCATGGCCTTGGTGGCAAAGGACCCCCCTGCTGCTATCAGTGGTCTGTGTGCGGTCCCCAGGTGTTAACACTTTATCCCTCATGGGCATCTTCCAATCTCAAGTACCAACAGTCCCACCACCTCGTGGTGCTTCTCTCCTGTACTTACACAAGACCAGGCAGTGCTCAGGGGCTGATTTCAGCCCATGGAGGTTTCATCTCTGACCCCATCTCCTCCTCCTCTTCCAGAAATGAACACGAAGCTGCTGGACTTCGAGGCCTTCCTGCCCATCCTGCAGCACTTCACCCGCACCAAGGAGCAGGGCACCTTCGAGGACTTTGTGGAAGGGCTGCGTGTCTTTGACAAGGAGGGCAATGGCATGGTGATGGGTGCCGAGCTGCGCCATGTGCTGGTCACACTGGGTACGGGCTGGCCCTGGGCTGGGCAGCAGGACACAGGCCACTCCTAATGTTCCTGTACGTTCCTGTGTAACCTTATCTAGGTGTTCCTGCTCCGGCGGGGGGATTGGACTAGATGATCTTTTGAGGTCCCTTCCAATCTCTAACATACTGTGATACTGTGATACTGTAATGGCTTGGGTTACTTGGGTGGCCTCATGCATCAGAGAGACCCTTTTGACTCTGCTGCTCATAGGCTTTCATTAGTGGCTCCTGAACATGTGGCCTTTTCCACCTTACCACTTCATGCATGATGCAGGTGAGATGCAGAGTCCGTAACACCCTCAGTTATCAGACAGCCACTGCAGTTTGGTCCTCTCTCCACAATCTCCCGGCAGCGTTCCCCGATCTGTGGTGTCACACAGCTCCTGTTAAACCCCTTTTTCCTTCCTCTGGTGACTTTGGCTCTCTGGGAAAAGGACAGGAAGGTCCTGGGGGGCTGAGAGCCCTTCCCTCACCTCTCCATCATCCTCCAGGAGAGAAGATGACAGAAAGCGAGGTGGAGCAGCTGATGGCAGGGCAAGAAGATGCCAACGGCTGTATCAACTATGAAGGTAGGAGCAAGAGATTCCCATTGAGACCATCTCAAACACGGTTGTCTTGGCTTAGGGTGCGAAATGGGCCCTCTGGGGGGACATTGGTGATCACTGAGAGGGAGGTATGGACCAGCTTCCAAAGCTTCTCCAAGGAGAGCGGTGAGACGTGTACGCTGGGCTGGGAACAAGGTGGCTGTGTCAGTGACCTCCAGCTGAAGAAGGCACGTTTCCAAGGGTTTATCCCCAGTTCTCCACCCGTTTGTTGTGAGCTAACAAACAAAGCCAGCACCTTTCACAGCAGAGGCAAGCTGGGGACATTCGGGAATTTGGCCCCAAGAGGGTGACAATCTGGCATAGGTGGTGGTTAAATCTGGGAACCCCTAAAATTGGGGAGCATTGAGGAAAAGGGGGACCAATTTCCCTTGGCAAACTGAGGATATTGGCTCTGGCTCGTCCCCAAGAGGCGTTTGGGAAGGTAGGAACAGAAGGTGAAATCTCAGCCCTGCATCGCTCATCCCCTTTGTCCCTGGGGTGCCCCAGGCTCTGCCTGCCCCACCACAGCTCACATCCTTTGACCTCCCATGCTCATTCCTCCTTTTTCTCCCCAGCTTTCGTCAAGCACATCATGTCTGGGTGAGAGAAGAAACTCCAGGTGAGTTTGTGGTGTCTGAAAGTGGAACAATCCCAGCTCTGCAAGCACCAGAAGCTGCGTTCATGATAACAAACCTCACGGGTAACTTGTGCTGTCTATCGAGGACAGCATCAACCCTGTCACTGTCCGTCGTGGCCTGGTTCATTGTGTTGATGATAACAAAGAGGTTGCTGTGTTTTATGGTGCTATGTTTGCTAAGCCCCCAGGAGGTGGGCATCAGTGGGAATAAGTATTGAAAACCCCGCAGCAGTGAATGAGTTGATGCTAAGGAAAGGCGAAACGCTTAAACAAGGGAATTTCTGAACCCAGAAATATCAACATTCCCATTCCCGTTAGAAAGAAGATGGGAAACGTACCAGCTCCCATATGAAGATAGATAGGCTGAGAAAGTTGGGGCTGTTCAGCCTGGAGAAGAGAAGGCTGCATGGAGACCTCATAGCAGCCTTCCAGTATCTGAAGGGGGCCTATAGGGATGCTGGGGGTGGACTCTTCATTAGGGACTGTAGTGGTAGGACAAGGGGTAATGGGTTCAAACTGAAACAGGGGAAGTTTAGATTGGATATAAGGAGGAAATTCTTTCCTGTTAGGGTGGTGAGGCACTGGAATGGGTTGCCCAGGGAGGCTGTGAATGCTCCATCCCTGGCAGTGTTCAAGGCCAGGTTGGATGAAGCCTTGGTTGCCATGGTTTAGTGCGAGGTGTCCCTGCCCATGGCAGGGGGCTGGAACTTGATGATCTTAAGGTCCTTTCCAACTCTAACTGTTCTATGATGCTATGATTCTATGATGCTTGGTAAGCTTTTTGTGGTCCTCAAAGTCTTGCCTGAGGAAAACAAAGAAAGAGGGTGAACAATCCCTCTGAAATCTATGCAGTTTAAAAGGCAATCCAAGTTATAAGAGCTAGTCCCAGCCTCCCCTCCAGATACTGCTACAGATACAAATTAAACACTTAAACCCCTCTGTTTTCCTCTCTACAAACCTCTTTAGCCACCAGGAGGTTAAAGCGGGGACAGAGAACTCTGAACTTTGCATGTTCAGCATCCTTTTCATCTTGGTTTGAATCCATTTCTCTCCAGCTCCTGTTCACCAGCTCAGCAGCACAGGTGCTTGGGTGGCAAATGCTGCTGGAAAGCTTAACTCCATACGAGCCCATTGGCATGTAACTGGTGTGGGATTACGGCTACGGACATTCCCTCTCAGCTCAAAGATTCCCTGGGCTAAGCCCTCTCCTGCTCTTGTCCCCCAGCTCTCAGCAGTGTTGGAACCCACCCGAGCACCACAAGCAGTGAGATTCCTCCACCCGTGTCCCCTCCACGCTGGATGTCACACATCTGCAGATGTGCCACCACGGAGAGCTGGCCTCCATGAGCGTGTGCCGAAGCCTCGGTGGACAATGAGACCTCTGCAGCTTGGGTTTAACCCTTAAGTTATTCTGTTCAGTCTTTTTTTTCCTGTGACATTTGGCTCATTAAATTGCATCCTTCTTCCCTCACATGGTTATCTCCGCTTGGGTTTTACTGCTCATTGAAGTGGTAGATGGAAGAGACTCCTGGGTCTCCACCAGCTCCCTGAGACAGCAGAGAGGGGAAAAGGGCAGGTTTATGACCATTAGATGTGAGGAAACAGGGAGGGTCTTTGCCTATCCCCATGGGGGACCATGGGCTGTGATCTGGCCACATCTTGCTGATGGAGCAAAGAGAGCAAGAGGGACAAGTTGCATCCAGTTGTTCTTCTCCCCTGTTCTTGGGATGCTCTTTACCTCCCGTGTGCCCTAAACCCAGCCCTTTTCCAGCCCTTTAGCCCATTAGCCTACAACATGCTCCAGGTCCACAGGAGCAAAGGTGGGGTAAAGGGGGACCTGCTTAGCCCTGTCACTGTCTCGGTCCCAGGAGAGACCAACAGGGTCCTCTCCTTCACCAGTATAAGGCCTGTCCCAGCCAGAAAAGGCCAGAGGCCCCTTAGAGACAAAACCACCCAAATCCACCCAGGAAAATACGAAAAGCATTAATTTCTGTACACCATCAACAGGCCCCAAAGTCCAGTCTTGAAGGATGAACAAGCGAGGGGGAAGGAAAATGGGGAAGCAACAGGTCCCTGTGGTGTGGGCAGTGCCTGCCTGGGATGGAGCCCAGCCAGGACAGGGCTCCAGGATGGTTCCTCTCCAAGCAGACAGGCAGGAGGTGGTTGGAGCTCTGGGGGCTCTGTCTCTGTTCCTACCTGCAAAGAACCCATCAGAGCATCCTTCCAAGTGGTGAATAATGCATGGCAGGTAACTGAGTTGCACACCTGGGAGCAGAAAACATCTTACTTGGATCTGGTTCCCACCCCAGTGTCCTGGCTCCAGGCCTTCGATCAGAAATTGAAGGTGTTTTGCTCTGATGGAGCTGACTTCAGCTGCCACTTGTTTGTTTCTGTGCAGTGATTGAGTAACAGCTGCTTTCTATTCCCACTGTGATTCAAACGCTCACCAAAAGCAACACAAGCTGTTTAGAGATGCCAACATTAGATTTTACCTCCTGTCTGTGGTTATTTCTACAGCTTCCATTAGGGAGAATCTGGGTATCTCGCTTTTTTAATGTATTATTTCTGCTTCAACCTGGGAAAGGAGCACCAAGAAGGGTGAGAAAGGACATTGCTTTGTCTTTGAGCCTCCAGCTCCTGTGCAGACAGGAGTGTTCTTCACCCTGTAAATGAAAACCAAAGAGACAACCTGAAAGAGAGCAGTGGCAAATGACAGCACTAGGGAAAATGGTGAGAGCTGTGAAATCCACCCTCCGAGGCACCCTTGGGGTAGCAGCCAGCCACGCTGGACTTTGGGAACCTGTTCTGTCTCCTTAGGGTAAAGCAGAGCTGCTTTGTACTGAAGCAGGTTGGAAAGATGCACTTGAATAGGCACAGGGTATACCTCCATACAGCTATATCCCTCTGTACTCTGTACTCTCTGCTCTGGAAAAGCCAAGGATCCCAAGGAGCAAGTGGTTTTAGCCCCACAGACGTGTGGACACCAGGGAGTGATTGACCCCATGAGCAGGCCTGCACTGCAGGACTGGAGGAGTCTTATGTCCCAAGATAAGAGCCAGCACTCTGTCCTTTTATAGTTTGGATGCTTTGCTTGAAGTGCAGGAGACTCTGAGGAGGGGTTAAAGGAACCTCCACCCTAAGGGGAGCCCATGGCTCTATCTGCTCAGGCTGCGATAAGACAGAGCCTCATACCAAAGATGGTCTGGGTGTCAGGAGGGTTAGTGCAGCACCCTGCGAAATGGAAGAGACAGATGGAGCCAGCTTTCATCCTGAGGAGATAGCAGCAGCGCATAGCAGGGCAGCAAGATCGGAATGAGGATGGTGAGCATGGTCTGTGCTCCTTCAAAGGCTCCCCGGGACCCCCAGATGCACGTAGACACACGTCCCCATCATCCCCATCAGCGTGCAAGCCTTCCCTTTATGGAGGGCAGACATTTCACTGTAGCGTGGTGTCTGCACCCTTTGTGCTCAGTGGAATGAGTTGGGTCAACCTGATGGCAAACCAGATATCCACCCCAGAGGGAAAGCACTGCTCCATGACCCTGTTTATTATGGCTTTCCATGCCAGCCTGCTCACACCCTGAAAGCAAACACCTGCAGACGTACTAGAGCAATACCCAACTTGTAAATACCCTATTCGGAAACACGGAGAAGGACGTGTAAAAAGCGCACGGAAGCAGGCAAGGCAAGCCTCCTGCTCCACGCCAACTGTCCAACATAAGCACCCCTCACACAGCTTTTCCCCTTACAGGATGATGCAGCCCGCAGTTCCCACGTGCGCTCCGCAGCAGATCAGGATGCACCCCCGCGCACGGGTGGCAATGTGCATTTAATAAACTTCACTTTAGTTGTGCCATCTTGATCCCATCCTTTTGGGAACGGAACAGAGCTCTGAGTCACACATAGCCCCTTCTACCCCCGCCCGTACCCATCGCCGGGAGCTCGGCTATTTCCGCCACCGCTCGGGCGGCTCCGGCAGCCGCAGCGCTTCCGCCTGGCGGACGGAGGGTTGGGGAGCTTTCCCAGCTGTTTTCCGTCCGCTTCGGCTCTCTCCGCCTGAAGCTTCGGGTATTTCCGGCGGACGGTTCGGCTGTTTCCGCCACTAGCTTCGGGCGGTCTCGGCGCTTGGCCGGCCTCGTTCCTTCCCTCCCCGCCGCCTGCCCCGGTAACGGTCGCTGGGAGTTTAAATGAGCAGGGGCCGGGCCGCGCCGCGCCGCTGCCGGGACACGCACTGAGGCGGAGCCGGGGCTGCCCCGCTCCGGGCTCGGCGAGGAGGCTGCGGAGGAGGCCGGGGAGAGCAGGATGACGGTGCTGCAGGAACCCGTCCAGGTACCGACCCCTGGGCGGCTCGGGCTCGCCGCCGCGCTCAGGCCCCAGGTCCCGGCCCGGCCCAGCCTGGCCCGACCTGGCGGGGGGAGCTGGCCTTGCCGCACCGCCCGCTCCGCGGGGAAGGCCTCCCCGCCGCCGGGCCCTCTCCTGGGGCGGGAGGCCCCACTCAGCTCGGGCCGCTCCTGGGGCTGGGGGCCTGCGGGCCCCGGGCTCCCCCTCCGCCGGTGGGAGCGGGCTAGGGCCGCGGGGTGCTCTCCGCCGCCAGCCCCGGCTCCTCCGGCCCGCTGGCCGGGCTGCGGGAGGGCTGCGGGGCTTCCCTGCTCCTCCGTGCGTCCCCTCCCCATCCCTTGCGCCTCTGGGACGAGCCGCCCGCGCCCTTTCGCCCCTGCCGGGCCCCCCACCGGGGGAGCCGGCCTCACCCCCGGAACTGCCGGTGTCCCGCGGCCTCCTGCTAAAGGCCCTTTCGGCTCCCCCGGTGCATCCCCTGGGAGACCTGTTGATACCTCTCTCCATCTCGCTTACCTTTCTGCGTTTGCTGCTGTTTCGTTTCTAAATGCTCGCAGCACGCTCGGCTCCGGACGTGTGATGCAGATGAAGGACGTTCCTTTTTCCCAAGGAGTTAGTTCCTTCACATGGATGGGAGACCTGGAAGAGAAAATAACAGATTTTGGTTTTCCTCCGTATTTTAGTGTCACTGCAGTGACCCTGATGGGCTTCCTGCTCTTGTTCTCAGTCTTCCCATTTAAAAAGCATGATTCATTGAAATAAGAATTGCTGCTTCTTTCCGCCTTGCCTGTACACCCATTATTCTACCTATTCTGTAATCTCCATTAATCAGTCTTCTTTTTGTGTCCATGTTCTTGTTGTTTGGTTGGGTTTTAGCCTTTCAACAGGGTGGATTTGTTTCTAGTTATGGTGGGAACATGTTGCTGTAAGTGTCTTGGTAGTACACGACTGTGTTCTGTAATGAGCATTGTGACAATGCGTGCTTTCAGCTCTCCTCCCTCCTTTTAATGAAAAGGTAGGAGGGGAAGGAAGGCTTCTCCTGTGGAAGACCACCCTGCTGACCTGATCCTGTCTGCAAGATGGTGATGGTGTGCTTGTAGACCAGGGGGTTGTTTCCTTGATGCCACTGTTCTGCTCATCCACTCTGAGAGCAAGGGTCAGTGCGGAGCTGGAAATGCCACCTGGTCCCTCTTTGCACTGGTCACACTTACGCCGTTGCTGTTACCCTTGGAGCTGGGCTGGCTGTTTTGTACCAGTTGGGTATTCTAGGAAAACACGGGGTTACAATAGAGAAGGAAGCAAGAATGCATTGCAGAGTGAATGCCCGGAAACAATATTTAGTGTTTCCAGCACTGTGCTAATTAGACAAACCAAGTGGAAAATATTTGCCTTTCTGGGAGTTCCCTAGTAGAAACGTGCAGTCTTGTGCTCGTTTTTCTGATAGGTGAAGACCTCTCTAATGTCACTCTCCATTCTTAAGCTCTCATCAGCTTGGCTCTTTCCATGAGGTTTTGCTGTGTTGAATATATGTATTTAGATTCTGCCTGTTTTCAAGTACCAGACAGTTCCTTTTTCAGTGGTTCTACTGTGCTTAGCTTTGCTGCTATTCCTTGCTTACAGCAACGCTGGGAAGTTTAGGTTTTGTTCTTTTTTGTGGCCTTGGTCATATCCTTGCTTTTAACGGTAAAGAAACCGCCGCTCACCATCGAGTACAAGGTCAGTGTTTGAGTCCTGCCTGGCTCAGCTCCTGTAGTCCATAGTGCCATGGCTACGAGCAGCATTGTAGATACTGGACAGCTTCACTGCAGCACCTTTCCCACCCAGCTCATGCTTGTTTCCTCACTGGTGTAACGTGTCCAGTGAGTGGTCTCTGTTTCGCTGTGCACATCTGGGTACAGTTGATTGCATTTCTGAATCCCCATTTTAGCTGGAATCCACGGATTTAGCTCTGTTTTCCTGATTTTTTTTAAAGTGCTCTGATTGGGCAGTTTGACACTACTTCTCATTTTTGTCATTGCAGAGATTTTTTCCTGTCTATTTGTCTGTTCTCTCTCAGCCTTTCAGATGTCTGCAGGGCCTAGCATTCCAGGAACAAACTGTCATCTTTACAGTTGTGATAGGCAAAACACGGTAA